TTTTGTGCCATGCAAAAAAGCTGAATAACCAGCACTGTCATGAGCAATACTCAAAGAAGGTCTATTTGCCTTGACTCCTTTAGAGCTGAGTTTAGCTCTACATGAAAAAGGGATTGTTCAGTTTGCATGAGAAAAACAGGTGCAGGTAGATTAAATAATTTGTTAAGGTTATGCAGTGAGGGGGTCGGCACAGCAAAAATGAAGATGCCTGGCTTTGGGATTTTCCCACACCAGCCAAGGTGCAAGTCTTTCCATAACCCAAGAGTTAGTGACAGGGCCTCCCCGGTGGCGCAGCGGTTGAGCGCTGGGTTGCGAAGCTGCGCGCGGCCTCTGCGGCGCCGGTTCGATCCCCGGCTGCTCCCCGGCCACCAGAGGAGGGTCCCACATGGCGCGCAGACCTCTCCTGCCGCCCGCTGCTCCCCTCAGCAGTGTGCTTCGGTCCTTCTGCCTGCTCTGCTCCCCGCTCTGGCTCTGGTGAATTCTCTCGCCCTCCCGCGCTTCTGACTGTACCCAGTGCATGTATAAACAAAACAAACAAACAAACCAGCAAACAAATAAATAAAGCATGCCTCTATAAAAAAAAAAAAAAAAAAAAAAAAAAAAGAGTTAGTGACAGTTGGTTTTTCTCAGCCATCCTCAATAAAACTCAGTTGACCAGGCCCCCGGGTGGACCAGGAGATATGTGTCAAAGCAATTGTAACTAAGTTAGGGTACAGTTGCATCCTGTGGACTCCTGAAGTAGGAGACACGTCCTCTGTGGGGCAGGAAGGAGTGACTGGGGCAGATGTAGAGAGTATGGAACTTTGGAATTTGTTAGCCAGAGTATACTAAAGAGAATTGCCCTACCCATCAAAGAAATTTGACTGTTAATCTTTGCTCCAAATACCAGTAGAGTGAAACCGTTAGTGAAAACTTATTTCTTGACCTTAGTTCCTTACAGAAAAGTTTTTGGATGCCAAGGTAGTAATGACCAATAGTTAGGACCTTCAGGCCTACCTCTGGGTAAAAGCTTTTGGCACTGGCACTAAGGCTGCTAGTGCATAGATATGACAAGTAATCCAAGAATTAGTGTTTTTTCTTTTCTTAAAATAAGCAGCAGTGTACTCTAGAAAAGTGTACTAGAAAAGGCGTAAGTTCACATTTCAAGGTAGGAAGCTGGACATGCTCCATTAGCCAGCATCCAAACAATTGCTCTGTCACTGAAGCTTATCTTCCTTAACGGAGGCATTATCATAGCAAACATCTTTTCATAGACCTTATGACTTTCTACAAATTATTGGCAATAAAATCTCCTCAAGGTTCTCCCCATCCAGGTCACACAGAATAATCTTGTTGGCTCTAGCTAATTTGCATGCAGAGGTTAGCCTCTAGTTTGGGTGATGTGACCCCAAATCACTTATTTAAAAATTGTGAAGTCATAGACTTTTAAAGCTGGAAGGGATAGAAGACACCATTTATTCCCACTTTGCCATTTTATAGATTAAAAAACTTATGTTCTGAGAACATAAGTGATTTTTCTGCAACCTGCTAAGGGAAGAGCTCAGACCCAGCTTGAACTTGTTATAGTGCCTACCAAACTGACTTTTCCTCCTGACTTCCCTGTCTGGAAAATGACAAAACATTCTCCCGGTCACCCAGGATCAAAATGTCAGTCTTGCTGGGGGTGTCCTTTTCCCTAGCCTTCCCCCCAATCCTTCTCTCTCCACCACCATCCCCACACCATACCCATTTTGTCCTCCCCATTCCGCTGCCAGCTACATCAGTTACACTCCTGTGAGGGAAACAAAGGCTTAAGATAAATGAGAGTATATACTTGACTTGGGCTAGTGTCCTCCTTGGGGCAGTAGAGGTGGGTGGCAAGGGTGTGGGAGGACAGGCGATGGCGTTTGAGGTCTGTAGCCTTTGTCAATATTTCAATCCACTTCTCTTTATGCATTTAATATGATTTCTAGAACCTGGGAAACCTGTTTCTAGAGCAGTGCACTTGCTTGTGATTGCTACTCTCCTTTTCTTTGTGGAACACGATAACAACTGATTCAGAGAGCTCTTTGTGGTGTCACCTTTTCCTGGGGGCAAGGGAATCAAAGCCCAATGGACCACCCATAAACTCGGCTTTATTTTACCAAGAGACAAGGAGAATGCTGAGCTAAGAAGAATGGGATTACTTTTTCGTCTAAAGAAATAGTTGCAGGCTTTGGTGTTGGATTGATAGAGAATCCAGTTCCAGGATGTGTTGACCTTCCATTGGGATGCATTCTCCAGAGTGCTTCTTTAAATTCTGCCACACTTGTAAGTAACGTAAAGAGTTGTTTGCTTCTGGTTCCGATCAGTCCTGAAAGAGAGGCACCATCTGTGCCAGAGACTCCCTCTGAGAAGATGGAGTTTAGATGACAAAATCTTTAAAACACATGGCAGTTTAGTGAGAATATGATCGCAAAAGCTGATAAATCCACTGCTCTTTTAACATAACCTGTGCTATATAGAGCACGTATCACATTGTATTGATTTGTTTACTTAGCTCTCCTTCTTCTGTGTTCAAAATCTGGCCCTGGCAATGACTAGCTGTGAACTTTAGATAAGATATTTAACTCAGTTTTCACACCTACAGAATGTGTGATAATAGCACCAACCTTACAGAATGATTACGAGGATTAAAGTAAGTGTGCATTTGTCTTTCTCTTCCTCGGGATTCGTGCCATCTCTGGCTAGTGAGTACTCGGTAATACTTTGTGAGCTATTTTCCTAGAGTAATTTTCTGTAAAATTCTTTGGAAGACTGAGCCTAAAAAATTTCCTTGTCACTTTACAAGCTGAATTTGGGGAAGAGAATTTGACCAGAGAATAATTTTGTTAATCAGACTGATTTGTCTGTAAAGAGAAGTTGAAGCCAGATAAATGTTTGGAATATTTTATGACAGCACTAGAGAAACATTAGGATATTTCCATTCCTATATTTGGGTGATTCTTGGAGTTTGCCTTATTGTCTTCTACAGCTCATCCAAGGTGGCTAGAAGTTGATTTGAATTTCTTTCCTGAAGTTGCGAATTACAAGTAGTAGACACTTTCTGTTACTTAATGAGAAGTGATGTCCCGCAAATATGCCAAGCGTTTGGAGTCCATATCATTTATTGGACATTCTAATGTACTTTGTCTTAGGAAATTTATAGTATATTCATGGTTTGTCATTTAATTATAGGTTTGTTTTAAATTTCATTTGGCTGTAGCTCTTGTTGGGGAATGAGAGTCTTGTTTCTCTCATAGGAATATGTGAATAGTGAACTGTTTGCTGATTGATAGGTCTAAAATTATGTTTTCCCCACATGTTTGAAAATGTCATTTCTGAAAGGGAAGGTGTTGAATAGCTTTCTCTGGAGATCTTTTAAAAATAGTATCGTTTCTCACCTGATTGGGGGGATGAAAGTGAGGTCTTTGGGGACAATGAAATGACCTCTACTTCTGAAAATTAGAATTACTTGAACTTTAGTTTGAATGCATGCTTGAGAATAATGTACTGAGTATACAACAAGGTATTCTATCCAGAGAATGGGGCTGGGATCGGGCCAAGGATGCAGGTACATGGAAAATGTTCTTTAATTCAGACACCAAAAGAGAAGGGCTGAGGGCAATTGTCAGAAAAAGAGTTTGAGGTCTCAGTTGAGGTGACCAGTGTGTTTGCCCGTCCTTGCAAGTCCAATTATCTGGTCTGACAGAAAGCAGGTGTACTAGTTTTCTGTCACTGTCCTGGCAATACCACACATATAATGGCTTAAAACAACATACAATTATCCCCTCACAGTTCTCTAGGTCAGAAGTCTGGTACGAGGTTACTGGGCTCAAATGATCTTCCCTATTTGGAGGTCTCACAGGCACCTCAGACATAATATGTCCAAATGGGGCTTTCCAGATCTGCTTTTCAAGCTAGAGCTGCTTCTCCTACTGTCTTCCCCATCTCATTAAATACCAATTCCATTCTGGAATTGCTCAGGTCAAAAATGGGATTTTCGTATAAGCCCCATTCAGCAAATCCAGTTGTCTCCACCTTCAAATTTATATAATCAGAATTGGATTACTTCTACTGACTTACTGAATTCCTACAGCAGCATTTTAAACTACTTTGGCTTCTTTTATTTCTTAAACTATTTTGGCTTCTTTTACTATTTTAATGCATCCTCAGTGCAACAGCCAGTGCTCCTGCTAACATGGCCCCCACATCTGTCACTCCCCAAGGCCAGTTGGCCCATCTCACTCAATATCAAAGCCAAAGACCTGATGGCTTAAGAGGGTGGGTGGCCCTGTCACCCCAGCCCTTTGTTCACCAGCAATGTTGCTTCTCTACCTCACACATCAGTGAGGTGATTGATCAATATATCACTATATCATTAGACTCTCAATGTTCCCCCTTGACAATGGCCATGGGATATCCTTGGTTGAGGAGGCAGATTTCAGGTCATATGGGAGCACCTGATCCTTCCATACACTCTGCCCCACTCCTTTCCCCAGCCCCATGTGATAGCCACCAGAACCTGAAGGGAGGGACTTCTCCAGTCTGACTCCAAGCCAAGCCCAGGGATATTTTTTGGTTCTGTTGCTCTTCTATGGAGCTAGATCAATAACAGAAGTGACAGCTGCTGCTGAAATACAAAGTTTGAAGAGAAGGCAGGTGTTCTTAGAAAAAGGGAGTGGTAGGCGTGGTTCCTATTTTATGTTAACCACAACTTTCAACACCTTTCTGCTCAATTGGCTACACTCCTGGGGATTTATGTAGGAAACAAGCATCTTAGAGAAAAACTGTTCCTCGCTGTTGGATCCAGCAACTATAACTACATCAGATGATAAATCAATTACGCACAAATACGGTCTAGAAAATTCACATCTTCTTATTATTGGAATTCAGTATCAACGCAGCCAAGTGACTGAGAAGGGGCCTAAGATCAGCCAAGGCCTTTAGGACATTTGAGGTGGCAATGGGGTTGATTGATGTATCCTGCTTTTGTCTACTAGGTCATTGCTTGTGAGCAGCAGTATGACTCTTCCTATGACGCGCGCTGTGACGTCTGGTCATTGGGGATTACAGCTATCGAATTGGGGGATGGAGACCCTCCCCTCTTTGACATGCATCCCGTGAAAACGCTTTTTAAGATTCCAAGGTAGGACACAAGATGGCGCTCTTGGCTCATTAGTTCCTCATCAAAGCGGCTCATTAGAGGGATAATAAATAGCTCCTAAACAATTTCTCTCCAAACCCGAGAAAGCCTGACTGCAAAACATATTTCTTTTTGAGAAAGAAAGGAAGTGGAGTCGGGTGGGGAGAGGTAGTCCTGAAGTACTCTCATTTTTCTGAGATGTTCGTTTTTTGGGCATTGCACAAGAAGGCTAAAAATTCGATTTTGGATTATCTTTCTAAATAATGGTCTTTTGTTTTTAACTACATAATAATATCTGGTCATTTTTTTCTAGTTGGATTCTTTCTTGAGTATCTGAGAAATTTTGAGGACAAAAAAATATTTTTTGTATCCACTCAGGTCAGTACTAAAAAGCATCAAAAAAATATTATATCCGTCGACTTGCTCTTCATCTCTAAATTTTATTCTTAATGGTGAATTGTGCTGAAAGCAGTCTGTTTGAAGGACAATTAGATGATAGCATATTTTCTATAGTATGCGTCAATAGAGGTGTCTACAGGAAGCTTGGTGGTTTGTCTTTCATCAAAATTCGGCCAACTCAGGGTTCTGGTTCAGAAAAGGAGGCTACCAGGGAGTTTAATCCTGCCAGGTTGCAAGATTTGTATCTTCCACATTCCTCTTTCAAAAAGACTGCGTTAGGTCTGCTGGGAGTTCTTTAACCACTTTAACAATAGTGTTAACCTTTCGTTATCTGCACAATCACTCAGCTATCACAGCCTTTAAAATTTTCTTCTTGATTGCAATTAGCATTTCTGATTAGGTCTATTTATATGCAGATGAGACTCCCCGCGTTCATCATCATAATGTTATCATTTCATACCTAATCCAGATGTGAACTACCACCCACTACTGTTCTGTAAAACAGAAAAGCTGGTTTTCCATCCAAGTCAGCCTTAGTTTTTTGCTTTTTCCAAAGCACAAAAACAGGTTATGGTGATTAGAGAAGCAAACAAAGCTCCTGACTTTTTAAATTAAAAATCTGGTGAATGTTCAAAAGCGATGTATAGAACACAGGATTCCCCAAACAACATTATATATAGCAATATGTCAGAATATGGTGTTTGAAATGTGTGCGTGCCTGATTTTTTTTTTACACATTTGGTTTACTTTTTATTTATTTATTGTGGCTACATTAATCTCCACATATCAGAATTGAGGTTAGTAGGCAATTAGCAAGATACGCATTTCTTTTTAAAAATTATGTGCTGTATGCAGACCACCTGTTCAAAAATTTCATAAACTGATGAGTGTGAGGCAGCTAAGGAGGGGAGTGTGTGTTTAAATAGACGGTGTCTCTGTCTATTTAAATAAACACTATCTCATGATTCCTTTTAGCTTGCTTCTGCGCCCAAACAAGCCTCTACTCTCTAATAATCGCTATGCTCTTCTTCCCTTACCCTGTCTATTTGGAGAAATGCTTCCAGATCTGAAACACAAATAACTAAGGCCCCCACTGCTGCTTTAGGACAGGGTGAACCTAGGAGCAGGTATTTTTTAAAAAAAAGGACATTAGGGGTAACAAGGAATCTTTCCCAACATAAGTAGGAGCTTTGTTCCTTCTTCCTAGTGGAACCTCCTGCCCTTTTACCATCTCTTGGCTCCCTTGCAGCTTGATTGAACTAAGGAATGACAACAATAATCGGTCAGCAGATCCTCAGTGCGATTCTGTGTGCTCAACTCTTGCCGTCATCACTGTCTTAACCCTGCCTACTTGACATTCCTAAGCAGGGAAGATGGAGGTTTTATAAAGAAATGTAGCATACTTGCATATACAGTACAGTTTTTTCTTCCCAAAACTGGGGAAGATAATGTTGGTTTATATTATACTCACTAAAGTTATTTACTTAAAAATTATCCTGCCGTTCTCACATGAAGCCTAGAGATTAACCAAACTTGTATGCGTGCGCTATCTTAATTTTAAGTGCTAAAATGTATCCTTTCCTCAGAGTTGAAAAATTAAGCATTTACACATTTTAAATAGGTATTAAGGTTTTTTTTTTAACCTGTGTGTTTCAAGGAGTGCGTTCTCTCTGTGTCTCTGTGTCTCTCTGTCTTTCTCAGCATTTCCTTACCTAATGGAAAAAAGCAAATGATAAATAATGGGAAAAAATCCAGTGGTTTCAGAATCCCCCCCCCCTCCATTTGCAAATGAATGTTTTTAGCACTCTAGTGAAGTTCATTTCGGATTGCTCTGGAATCCAGAACACCATGAGTGACTTCCTCCTCTGACATTTCTTACTTGCCTCTTCCCTATGATCTTCACCTTACTAAAAATAAATTAAGTTAAATACCCAAGTAAGGGAAGTCAGTGAAGAAGAGACTTTCATGAATTACAAAGGATTTGTGAATTACTGAAGTGTTGCTTACATGTGAGGTGAGTGCCTCAGATGTCAACAAGACAGGTATTTACATAGGGTCCCTGGGCACTGTCAGGAAGTATTAAATAGAACCTGCCTGAATGTGGTTGACTTGCCTGCACATAGCTCTCCTTGCTCTTCCTCTCTCTGCCTCCACCCACCTTCGCCTTTGCCTTGACCTTCACATTAGAAGATGACGCATGGAGTAATCATGACCTGTCTTTGAAATGCTGTGTGACTTGCAATCTTTCTTATATTGCTAACACAAGGAAATTATCTGCTGATTGGCAGAGCATCCACTATTTGCTGAACCTGTCAGCATGTGTCATCTTGTCTGATGCCTTTGCTCCAAAAACGTCACCCCTCTCTGATGGTTGCTGTTCTGTTACTGCTATTTTTTCCCAGGACTTAGGAGGAAGGAAAAGAATGAAAACCATTTCTCTGTGCATCAGTCATTGGGTTCAACACTGGACTCCTTTAAAATTCAAGAATCTTAGAAGGATCCTGCAGACAAACTGGATATATTGTTTCAATTAAAGGGAGATCTATTTCATAGGTATAATTGGAAGAACCCATTGAGTTAGGAGAAATATATTATCATGTTGGTCTTTTGGCAATCAGGTTTCTTGCCTTAGCTTGGAGTCTTTGGCTAATGATCTACTGACAGGCGAAGGTGGTAGTGTCCAGTGAGGGTATGTTTACTTTTTTATTTTATTTTTTAAAAGATTGATTTATTTATACAAGTACTGGGTACAGTCAGAAGCGCAGGAGGGTGAGAGAATTCACCAAGGCCAGAGGGGAGAGCAGAGCAGGCAGACTGACTAAGTACACTGCTGAGGGGAGCAACGGGCTGCAGGAGAGGTCTGCGCGCCGTGTGGGACCCTTGCCTTGCAGCCAGGGATCGAACCAGCGCTGCAGAGGCTGCGGGCAGCCTCACAACCTAGCGCTCAACTGCTGTGCCACCGGGGAGGCCCAGGGTATGTTTATTGAACAGAGACTGAAAGCCATGTCACCTGCCCATTTATTTGGGACAAGAAAGTGGGTGACTCTATCCAGTGTCTTTGTGCACATTGAAAGCTTCTACTTCATTCCTTGTGGAAAAATGCAGAAAGGTTTCAAAATTCCCAGCAGAAATGTCCTTGACAGGAATTGGATGGAACACAACAGCCTGAACATTCCAGTCCCTGAAGCTAGTGATTTTTCCCTTCTTAAAGAGAAGTTTCTTGCAGTAGATGATTCAAGAAAAGGAGAACTCATGATAATCACCAACTCACATTTAGGCTTGTTTTCCTTACCAGATTTAGGTTATTCTAAACTGTACCCAACTATATTACTTTCCTAGGGATGTCACAACAAATTTGGTGGCTCGAAGCAACAGTAATTTATTCTCTCACGGTTCTGGAAACCAGAAATCCAAAATCAAGATGTTTGCAGAGCCATATTCCTTCTGAAGGCCATAGAAGAGAATTCTTCCTCACCTCTTCCACTTTTTAGTGGCTTCTGGTGTTCCTTGTTTTTTTTTTTTTTTTTTTTTTTTTTTCTTGTGGCAGCAAAATTCAAATCTCTATCTCCATTTTCATTTTACTTTTCTTTCTTTTTTAAAGGTTTATTTTTTTATCTATTTATGCATACAAGAACTGGGGTGTAGGCCAGAGGTACTGCGGGTAGGAGGGTGAGAGGATTCACCAGAGACAGAGTGGGGAGCAGGGTAGGCAGACTTACTGAAATACACTGCTAAGGGGAGCAGCAGGCGAGTCAGGAGAGGTCTGCTGTGCCATGTGGGTAGCTCCCTGGCTGGGGATCAAACTCATGTCGCAGTGGCTGGCGATAGCTTGATAGTGCTGAGACTTTAACCCTTGAGCCATCAGGGAGGTGCCCATCATCTGATTTTTCTCTCTTTCCCCTCTGTTTTCTTTTCTGTCTTATCTAATAAGGATACTTGTCATTGAATTTAGGGCCCATCCTAATGTAGGATAATTTCATCTTGAGACCCTTGCCTTAATTACATTCGCAAAGACCCTGTTCCAAGAGACATTATTTTCTTAGATTCCAAGTGCGCATATCTATTGAGGGGGTCACAATTCAAACCATTACACCAAGCAACTTTTATGTTTCCCAGATTCTCTGAGAAACTAATTTGGGGCAAAATAGAAGACAACCAGCTAAATGATGATGGAGAAATGATTATAGCTAACATCTATCAAGTACTAACGACATGATAGCACAGTGCCATTTCACAAATATAACTGTGTTACATCCTCACAATAACCCTGTGAAGTAGATACTATCACAACATCTTTTTCTAGAGGAAAAAACTGGGAGCTCAGGAAGGAAATCCCTAGGGGATTTACTGTTACATAGAAAATAGAAAGCCCTTACTTAAATTGTATTTATTTACTGAGGAGCTATGACTAGAGTACTTAGAAATATAGAGGGCATCCCAGTATTTAATAAACTTATAATCCATCATCACTCCTTGTTCCCAATTTTAAATTGACATTGTAAAAGTAAAACTTAGAATTTTGTTAGGGTTGATGATTGTGTCAAGGAAGGAATTAAAGAATGGAAATCAAGACTGACATCATAGGTGAGCATCCCTCCTCTACTCGTTTGATTTATGACCCCAAAATCATAAATTCTTCTCTTCTCCAACCATCCCTTCCAATACCTGCCTTTAGTTCCTAATTTAGAACACTTAAGACAAGTGTTTGAACTAAAGAATTATAGAACATGTATTATATAAAAGTAGAGAGGCACTTCAGGTTATCATTACTGGTGCCCAGAAATTTCTTGCCGTCCATACCTCCTTGCAAAATTTGCAACTATTCACATCAAGGCTATTTCTGGTATAACCAGTATCTCCTCTTCTTGCTTTCTTACTATTTTTTTCTGTAGGAAATGCTTGCTTTGGTTCTGGGGTAAATGGAAATCTGTTTCTGGCATTCTGAGTTG